GTCACTTGAAGGTTGTTCAGGTGGGAAAAGTGAATGCATCATATATCAGATACTAGGACTAAATGAAGACTGTCGTGGTTCTGTGCTGAGCGCCGGCTGCCAGCCAATTGGTAGACATTAATTTACGTCGTTGTTTATGTCGTAAATATTGGTTGTGAGAAAATATGAACAAGACTGATTCACCAACCAATCACAGCAGACTTTGCGTAGGCAGATACAGTCGACATACAGATGATCTGACATTCAAGAGACAGTCACAAAGAGATACAAGGTCAGCTGTCTGTGAGAAACAACCAATCAGAAGACTGTGTTTTTCTGCTAACAATGATCTATAGTATGTACATGAAAATCTATAAATATGTGTTGATTTCCTTAATAAACGATCTGTTGCCTGGCCCTTGTCTTCTGTAGTTACAGTTCCTAAAAAATTACTGGAGGACATCCAAGATATAATGGTCTGGACATCGCATATATATATATATATATGCGATGTCCACTGGCGAAACTGTCACAAAAATCAACAGGTTGTGCTTTGCTGAGAGATCAGGTACACTTCTACATTATATTTCTCGACAGTAATGGAGTGTTAACTTTTAAAATGAATATTAGTATACAGCATATTATTCACTGAGAATTAGGAGTTAATTATGGACATTGCAGTTATACCTTTATGAACCTCGAGAAAATGTTGGCAACTTGCCTGATATAAAATCGAATTCTGGAGCACTTAAAAAATTGAACATAACAGCCAAACTTTAAGTGTACATAGTTATTTGAATTATGACAAATATTCCCATTTGAGAATGCTCAGAAATTATGAAAACATTTATAAGGACTATCAGCAGCCCAACTTACAGGCACATAGTAATTACATCTGTCAGTACTACAACAGTATAAGAGCAAATCCAGTCTCTTGTTTTCGATCTGAAACAACGCTGTGAGATAACTGGAGATGTCGTTTCGCAACCATATTTCATTGTACAGCCCTTTGTTATAACTGCTCTCTGCTCAGCAAGAACGGTAAAAAAGGAGAGAGATAACTTGTAACAAATGAACGGTTTTCGCCTACTTCGATAATAGACAGTTGACTGGTAAGTGTCTTGTGAGAGTTCGCAGGTCTGAAGAGTCCTAACGCAATCATTCCAGTTCCTTTCAACATAATTACACACACATAACATTCAAGAGCTACTGAAAAACAAATGATCATTAAACTCTTCTAAACTGGAACCTAAGTTAAGTGGAATAGTGAACATTCAACCGAAAATTGCTGAAGTCATTTCCTCTTCTTTCAAACCGGTTTAAAACATCTGTACTCATTCGACGTCCGGTATCTTTGTGGAGATGAAGATATTGTGTACACCTCATTATTTCTTGTTGTGCCGAAACGGCATTACATTTGTTGACGATATCAATGTGGATAATTCATTCCGCATTGCTGCTGGAAGCAAAAAGAAGAATATCATTTTGTTTTCGAGGTTTGTCGTAGTACACTGAGAGATGCTGGGAATTCCAGATTTCATTTTACTGGAGGAATCTTCACTTAACTCAAAAAACACCAAAAATAGTGGTGATGATCACCCTCTCGAGAGGGTGAAAACGAAATCCACAGAGGTGATCAAATAAACCAATGGAAGGCATGGCTATGGGATTTGAGGTACACTAAGTAATGCAGTGTAAGCGAGTGTTAAACGTTGACATTTACGGGTCGTTCATCCAATGGTTTGTTTCGGAGACCCAACACACCTTTTTTCGTCCGTATTTGAACTGTTCGCGTCTCTTCTAAGCAAGTGGGGTCCAGTGATATTTTGCACTTCAGTGTGTGGTTTTACATATATTCTGTGCAACCTTAGAAAGAGTTGAAGAGTGAGTCCACCTGTCTGTGTGTAAAATGGATGACCGCATATGCCCTCGCTACGTCTCCGGTGTAATTAACACATGTGTCTATTTTTCATCTCCTAGGTCTCGCGCCAACGTTGTACAGGAGAAGCTTTCGTAGCACAGGTTTTAACTTGCATTCTGAAGCTTACAGACGCTTAATTTCACTACCTTGCACTTTATCAGGTTGAAAGTCATACCACCGGCCATCGCCTAATCTTCCAGTCGCTTAATGTCTGACTGCAGCTTATTCGTATCTATCGAGCACTTTATGGCTCTCCTATTCTTTACGTCGTCAGGGTAAAGAAGAGTCGGTCAGCTTAGACTGCATAGTAGGTCATTGGTAAAAATCAAAACATCGATACCCCAAAGGTAGAACCCAGTGATACTCTTGATGACGAGCTCTGCGGGGGTGACCGGATACGGCTGATATTCGTCCAGAATTTCCTTTCCTTTAGGTAGTCCTTCAATCGTGACAGAAGCGGCTAACCCACACCTGCCTGACTTATTTCGCGGAGGTCATGGTGAACTGTGTCAGATGCCTTCTCAAAGACTAGAAGGACCACACGGATCAGAATATTCATATTCCAGTATGATGTCCAATCGTCCCGGGCTGGTAGTAGGTTTGTTACACAGGATCTACCCGTCACGAAACCATGTTGTGCTTCACGAAGTGTATTAGTCTTGTAAAGGTGTTCCTTGATGTAATCGTCAATTAAAATTTCCAGTACTTTTGATACCAGCGCTACTGGTCCTCATCTGGTGGCATTTTGCCCGTCGCTACCCTTGAAAGTCGGGGAAGGATGGCTCTTTTCAAATACCTCAGTTGAGTGTTGAAGCAAGTCGTGTGAGAGCTTGCACAGAGGTTCGGCGCACTGCTTTAGAACATACATCCTGATGCCGTCACAACTTGGCGACTTTCCAAATGTGAGTCTCTGTAACTGCTGGTTTTATTTCGAGGGTATCCACTATGTATTCCTCTGGTGTAATACTGTAACAACAGAAGACAAGGGCCAGACAACAGATCGTTTATTGAGAAATCAACACATATATATATAGATTTTCATGTACATACTATAGATTATTGTTGGCAGAAAAAACAGTCTTCTGATTGGTTGTTTCTCGCAGAATGTCAAATCACCTATATGTTAACTGTATCCGCCTACGTAAAGCCTTCCTTCTCATTTTTCTCACAACCAATACTAGGGACATAAACATTGACGTAAATTACTTCCCACCAATTTTGGCTAACAACCAGTTCTCACCACAATACTAGTGCCGTCATTTTAGTTCATACCTGTAAAACGTGCTGGCGATAAATGGGCCAGCTTAACTATTTCTCACAGTACTTCGTCTAGCATTTCAAGCGTTAATCCATATGCCATCTGTCTCCCAAACAATCTCGCTGACACTTACTAAAGTACAGCTGCCAGTGGGTGAGACGAGTTGAAACACATTTTGACCGTTGTAAGATGCAACTGCTGATCCCATCTGACACTCACGTACTGAGTACCAGGCTTTGCTGGCACTAGACAAGCACTGTCTCATCCTATGCATGACAGCCCTACACAGGTTATTATACTTGTTATCCGTCCGAATGGTCCAACATGCGTGAGGAAGTTGCGAGAAACGCACACCCACTTCAGTCTTGGCAACCGGAAAGTATCATCAGCCAACACGCAATCAGTGTGCTTGATAGCACATGGTACCGTACTGGGAAGAGAGGTTCTAACTAACTAAGGGGTTCACAGATACCCCAGTGGCTGTGAGTAGGATGTTCTTCTAAGCCATTTGTGTTACTATCCTAATGCTTGAGAAGTCAATCCTATATATCTAAGTTGTCAAAAAACCAGATCTTACCGGTAATCTAATTAAAAGCACTTAAGCCACAAATCCAAGTCTTTTGAAAGAAACCTTCAGATTTATCGAGGATAATCTACCCATCAGCGTTACTGCATCAATAATGATAACAGAACACGATTGAAATAAATGCTTCAAGATACGTACCTAACGCATCGGAATCTACTTTTAAAGCAACTCATCTGCATGATCCTTCCCTTCCACCTCAAATCAATCACATGGAACTACCAATACCTTTAGAATCTCGATTTCACAATTACCACATCACTCTCATATCGATGACACGAAAGATTAAAAGTTATGCGCATGAAATTTAGTCGTCTTAACTAGGCTGCATACACACAAGCTATCATTTACCCAGTTGACAGCCACATAAACAACTTGACACAGTTAACATGAGTGGATGGGTGGGTAGACTATGGTCTACCTCTCGATGTGTTCTTCTTATGTGGTCATGCGTTCATGGCCTTTGTCAGTTAAGCCCAATTCACTCATTTGACAAAAGCCAAACGGCGAATGAGAACGTCTGGTGCATACAACCAGATTGACGGACATGTAGATCCACACGGGGGAGCTAGAAATCCCAGATTCCAATCCTATGGTGCACATGGGCTCCAGAAACCATAGAAATCAAATGGCGTATGAACCTGGGTTGGTCACCGGAAACTATGAGAACACAGCTCTTGATGCTGCTGCTGCACCCCCTTTGTGGATTAGGCTTTAAGTCGAAGGTTTGAGAAGAGGAGATGGTCCTTTAGGACAACCACGTGCTTCGTTCTCGCCACCCCAACAGTATCTCAGGACTTGCACATGTATCTCTTGGTAACCATAATGTACATCAAGTTTGTATTTGGAATACAGGAAAATAAATACCCATTTGACAAGACACAAGAAAACACTGAACATCAATTTCACCATCCAAAAAAAGAAGGTAGATACAAATAGAAAGACAAGAAATATTACCCCACTCACAACAACAACGAAAATAAGCACAGGAACCAATAATTAGTAAATTAAAAAAGATAAATAAAGAATGAGGAGTCAGAGCGATAGATACTCCAGGTTCAAGAAAAGAGTTAGTGTATGATCATTAGGAATTCAGCTGTATTTTTATTAGAATACAAAATATTTTATTTTAACAAGGAAAATAAGATCACAGAGTAGGTGGTTTGTGGTGAGATCAATCACCGGATGGAAAGGTGTGTGTGTGTGTTTGAGTCCGTCAGTCGACTATCACATATTTACAAGTGGGTGTGTGAAGGAAATTATCCAGAGAAGGGGGCACGGAAATGCACGCAACTAGCCAATCCCCGTGATTTCCCCAATATTAGCACCTCTAAAAACCAAAACAAAACAAAAACTGTATGTACAAAAAGATAAGTTCTGAAATATTGTAGTCAATTTACTGGAATATAAAAAATTAGTGCCTATAAACCCCCATGTGCACACAAAACAGGTTTCGGTCACAATACATAATATTTGTTCATTAACCTGTCTTAGGCAGTCAACATTTATTTATCATTACTGTGACTGTGCCTGACTTGGTAATACAATTTTAGCGCCAATCTTCATTTTACCGGATAATGTTTTCACCTCCCTCTGTTTGCTCACCTGCTCTGCGTATCTCTTATCTTTCATCGTCACCCGTAAACATTTTGACCCATACTGATAAAGAAAACTTGATTCTTCATGCTCTGTTATCTGTTATACAAATATGTATGACAAGTACAGGTGTGTGTATGTGATCAAAACGTCCGAAAGGCGTTGCACAAATAACGGCGAAAATATATCACAAATCAGACTTCCCGCGCTTTCCTTCCAGTATACTTGTAAAGGTAGAACGCAGACGGTCAACTACGACTTCAATTTCCTCAGGTACTTGATTTTGTATTACGGTCCCACACCCACAGGAATCCTGTAATCATAACAGATGTTACGTCTGACTGTTTCAAATAAGTATTCTACCCTACTGTTTTACGACGCAGCTAGACTATCTCTTGTGTTGCACGAAAACACCTCACGATAGCTTTGATCCCCATATGCAAATACACACTACACGCTTTAAATAAATCACATCTTATTATTTTGTCAAAATTCTCATGAAGGGAACTAGTTGTGTTCAATATCAATTTTATTTAGTAATTAACATGAATTAAAAGGTAGACAGAGGAGAAAGGGTAACCGTTCCATTGTCAACACCGACAGTCTACACGTTAGCAGTTAAACAACAAGGAATCTGACTTGTCTTGAGAAACGACAACCATACACGTCGTCACTTCTTCGTGAAGATCATCTACAATAACCGCCTGAAACAACCTGTGCTTTGTGTTCAAGAGAAGCAAGTCCAGCCCCCACTACTCTTCCTGGCCTCGAGTGTAAATTATAAATTCAATAATTTGCAATATTACCTTTCCTAACTTTTCTGACATTCAGCTTATTTTATATTGATGCTATTGAGTCAGTCAGGCCCTCCATCCAGTGGCAACCAAATTGGAAACGACGAGTACGACGTGAGTTCGAGAGTGAGATAGAGGAGATCGTGTGTGAGATGACAGCAGATGGTCAATCGTGAGGCTAGCTGAAAAGAACTGCAGAGAAGACAATGAAATAGAGATGCGCTGTTGAAGCTCAATGATGCACTCAGAACCCAAAGGAATAACGATAATATGCTATATAAAATGTAAAAACCACTTCACTTACGCGGAAATAGATCACATGAAAGCTGATGTTTGTTTGCCAGTGGAATAAAGTGATCTTCATAAAAATATATTCACTATCTTTTTCGCTCACATGATCTCGCAGTAATGAGTGGATCGACAACAACATTGTCAATTGATTTCCTCTTGTTTCTCAAAGATTTCCTTGGAGCTGTACCATTATTATTATTATTATTATTACTGCCAACAGCACCATTCTCATCGCCATCATCGTGTAAACATAAACGACGAAATTTACCCTTTCTTGATTTCGATTCTTTCGCATCAGAGTCTGGAGGTTGATTTCCACTAACTCTGAAATGAAAACCAAACTTCACCCATACATATACATATATATGCCACACAGTTTACAAAATATAATGCTGTATAATGTTGGTCAACAACTGATTGCTATTCCATACAGTTAGAAATAAGCCACACCTAGCCTATTGTGTCAGGATTAACGATACTATCTGGCTGTCCAAACCTCGTGATTAGGTGGAGTGGGGTTTGAATCTGCAACCACCTACTACTACTGGTTGGAAGTCAAGCGCCCAGACCACCAAGCCAGTCCCATGTTTTCCAGAATATTCACAGAAAGTTTTATTCGATTTACACACGAGACTTCCTCATCACTAATCAAATGATAAACTTGGTTTACTTGTTCATAGCCTTCACTCCGGTATTACATCATGTAGTTTGTGCTGAAACCCACACCGCACTCCATAAGTTATATCAACCGCATATGAAGTTTCTAACTGACTTTAGATTTGACCACTTCTATTTCATTTCCATTCCAGACTAATCCTACGTCACCCACCACCTAACAACATTGCGCTTCCTGTCTTAACGGAATCTAAGATTATGGAATAAAATTCTATTGATTCTCATATTTCACAATACAAATGGACTAACGACACCAAAACTGATCATAACATACTATGGGAATATGGTAAAAGAAACGGAATGAGAGATTTATAAATGTATTCAAGATTTAAGGGAAAAATTCACTGGGAATGTACACCTGATACCGTCCCCCATAGTTTAGCAGCATTCCTATCACTTTTAAAGTTCATCTATGCCTTTATTTTATGGTGGACAGATAAAAATAAAAATTTCTAAACTTCACAATAACACAGAAAGAAAAAACTAACACGATAGAAAAGGTGATCATATCACTCATTCACACACACACACACACACACACAACCTTTCTACTGGAGGAAAGTAACCAGTAAACTGATAAAAGTTGATATGGACAATCAATAGTGTTAAAACTGGGTTTCAAACTTCCTGTAATAAAAGTTAGTTACAACATCACGCTCACACAAACTTGAAGGGAACAAAAATTCTTCACTTAAGAAAGAAACAGATGAACGCGTATCTAAGATTAACAGCAAGACTCATCCTCCTGAGGAAAACTATGATAACAGGTGTATTCCTCAGAAATGATCATTGTTCACAATTTTGTTCAAATTTCATCATAGATGTACCAATAGAAGATGAAACCCAAATCGACTTTACCAACTTACCGAAACAGTCTGAACGACTTAGAGTGCGGCTATGATATTGTCCATCTACATGAAGACACAGACAAAATTCAGACTATTCTGAAAAGTCTGACTAGAAATCTTAGAGAACAGTTGGCATGCGACTCACCCCTGTCAAATGTGAGGTGATGTTCCAGGGACTGGGGTCTGGGCCGACTTCTAATTTAAACATGGAAAATGTGAGGTGGTTCAGCATGTGTGTAGTCCACTTCATTTGTTATTTTGAAACAGTCTAAACTCGTGGGTATAACAGTTGAGGTTGTCAATAGAGAGAGTTAAATGGATCTAAGTCGAAACGTTTAATGCCATCACTTCCTTTGAACCTTCTACAAACGCGATAATATTCAACAACGGAGTAAAATACAACCAATCATACCTAGTGAGTGTGTAAGAGGTCATAACACCGGGTTATTCAAGCTTCACTAGATAGCGTAGTATTCAAACCAGTCATTCATTGATCGAAAGTCGATCTAATAAACATGCAACAACATGTCAACGAACTCGTGTTGTAATCTCAACGTCCTGGATTCAATCTCTGGCGAGGTGAGTCATGCATGCGTGCTGATGAAGAGTCCCAAACAAGGATAGAACAGCTGTCCTGCACTCTCTACTGCTTTCCAATGGTTGTTTCACTCCAATCAGAGAAAACTGAAGTCAACTTGTGATAAATCGTAAATCAATCAAATACCTGAAAACCATCAATACTTGAACATAAATTTACCACAGTAATGTTTTCCACATATCAACAGAAAACAAGATGGTCGTAAACTTACAATGGGACTAGTAGGACAGATGGACGCCGATTATCACCTATCGGTGAATTCACTTCTCCATTCTGTAACTGTAATTCTCCAAGAACTGGACGTTTTCTTGTTGCTGCAGCGGTGCTGGATATCTTGCCCTCAGTACTATCACCTTGCCTGTCTTTCAATCCCTCAACTTGCTGTTGATACTTTTCCCCTTGTTTAATAATCCGTAAATCATTCAAAGTAGGTGGAAGTACAGACAAGTTAGCTGTTTGATTCATTGATAAATCGAAGACATTCTGTAGATGAAAATGACAGAAGGTAGACAGATTGTGAGAAGAAGAAGAAGTAGAAGTTGGGAGAAGACACAGTGAACAACTATGCAGTACAACCTAATTAGGATTATAGTTGAGGTGCATACTTAAAACAAAATCTGTAAGAATCAGTAGACTATGATGACAAATAATAGAATTAGACGATATCAATTCCCAGTCACTGTCACTGACAGGTGGTTTCAACTGTGCACACGCCGCAGCTTACCACGGGTTCGTGAGAGATTTTTCAAACAGTTAACCTACGCTGATTTAGCCAAATTATTTATCATTATTAAAGCACAAACTTGGCATACTATTGGCACCGACAGATCCCTCTTACAAAATGTCATAGTTGGTTCGACGGCTGAGATAGTTAGTGCTCAGGCGCCCAGACCGAACCACGTGGTTGTCTTAAGGGACCACCGCTCCTTCTCCGAACCTCATCCACAAGGTAGTCAGCAGCTTCACGAGATGTATTCCCATGGTTTCCATGGATCAAAAAAGCTTCGTATGCCATTCGATCTTCTCCAGTTCTACAATAAATGTACATCATCGGTTGGCGATCAGGGTTTTCTAGCTCCTCTAGGTGGATAAGCATATTCATCAGTCCGGTTGTAAGAGCCAAATGTTACCACGTCTGTTAAACCTAAGAAGTGATTACAGTAGTGTGCATGTATTTGTACCAGATCTCCAACTCAATTGGAACATCGCATCTTCATATGTCTTATTACACTTCCCTTATGTCTAACGGCATTCCACATCTTTCCACTACATCAATTTCATTTCTTCCACAAAGGAAGTGTGTTCCAACTTGTAAACCCTAATGTTCGTTTGTTTTCACCAAAACCCACTAACAGCATGCTCCGAACTAATGATAAAACGAAATTCACAATTAATTGATGAAGCAGAAAAGAGATCACCAAGTAATAGGTAGTTTTATATACATACATATCCAAACCAAGTTCACTTTTAACAGTTTGAAAAAATTTGGCCATTGGGTAAGTGATATTCACATTATTATAAAAGTTTTTGTACTTCCCCCAGTGAATGACGTCACTGACGTTTCGCTTCTTATTTTATATGTCAACTTTCCAGAAATGCAGTAAAACATTCTCCTCCGTTTCCTATGCTCCTGAAGGAATTCTGTCTCCTCGTGCTGCCATACCGGCTCTCAGTAACTTACTCTTAGATTCTGAAGTGAACCTTTTATAGGGATATACAATTAAAACACTACATCGTCAAAGTTATTTATAAAATAATTTACGACAGTCCTCTTGTGTTACACTACCCTTTTATATACATTTTTATATATGAACAATTAAATGTAGGTCAATGAAACTAGTGGGTAAATGGAAAAATGAACAACGAAATAACACTTACTGCGGATTTAATTCCCTGAGGTAATTTTCTTTCATTCCCTGCCATGTTCTCTTTGTCACTACTACGACTATCAGGAGACTTCGAACCTGTAATACAGTCGATGAACCTCGTCTTTGATCTGGTCTTTCGTTGTTGTTTCCCCTGTTCGACGGCAGATGATGGATTATTCTGTCTGTTGACAACAGTACCACTTCTAGCACAGATATTAAGTGGATTCTTAGCATCAACTTTAAATGTTAACTGACCAGGTCGACGAAAGCATGTTTCAATAATACGTCCAGTAGTTTGTTGTGGTACACTTTCAACAATATCAGGGTTGTTTGTTTTTCTTACTTTTAAACCTTTTGATCTACTTTTACCATCTGTTTTATTCCCATCATCATTGTTCTTCATAGTTCCGGCATTCTTACCTTTACCATCGTCACCATCATCATCATCATCATCATCATCATCCTCACTGTCTGCAGAACGAATCAACCGACGTTTAACAACCTTCTTTTTCTTTTTCTTAACAACTGGTGGTTCAAGAAACGATGATGTATCTATGATAGGCTTCGCATTTAAACGAGCTCTCCTGACTAAATGAGATCTGGTTGACCAATCTTCATGAGGGACAACAGCATTGTTTTCATTTCTGTTGACAACATCAACAGGAGGCGGTGCAGTCACAGTCGCAGTCTCATTAATTTCTCCTACAGTTTCTCTTCTCAAAGTTTCTTTTTCCACATCATCATCTTTGTTTGGAGAAACACAATTACGTGGAGTAGCGAGTATTTCGGGCAATTGTTCTTCTTCCTCCGCCGGAGCGGGAGATGACGGAACTGCTGTAAATCAAGAGTATTAAACACAAAAGATATTTACAAGTGATCTATCTAAATGATTATAATTGAACTGCATCATTTAGAACTCATAAAAGTGTAATCACACTGAATCAATCGTGAGATTCTGACATGCTTCATAGATCACAGCAATTCGCACCACCTATGATGGCGGTCCAAACCAACAGTCAAAGACTCTATGAATGGGTGAGTGTTCTCGTCAGACAATTCATAACTCTTTTTAACCTAATCCTATATTGTATTAACGAATACAAAACGGCATAACACATGTCCCAACCATCTTAATAAATGCCATTTCAAAATCTCGTTGATTATCTTTTCCCTTCTTCACCTAACACAATACGCCTAACCTTATCACTACGAAGTATATTACACCATGAAAGATTGATCGAAGGTACCTACGGTCAAAAAAAACGCTAGTTTTGCTCGTATATTTCAGGTTTAGTAGTTATGTCTGGATGGTGAAGGAGGACAACGCGAACTGTCTGCCATAAAGTGCACAAGTCCCTTGATGGTCAGTCAGTTGGATATCACGTTTACAGGCCCAGATTCTCACTCGACTTTCAACTAGTAAGTCAGACGTTTAAAGCCAGTCTCAATCACTTCGTAATATGAATAATTATTCCTCCTCAGCGAAGAGACAGACATATTTGTTAACTAAACGCAAAAAATACGCATACAGTTGATGAATTGTAAAAGCGTTGGTAAATGTATTATATTTTCATTATTCCCTTGGATTCCGAGTGGAACCATAAAGCTCCACCAGTACATGCCCATTTTACCCTGTTCTCTGCTGTTTTTTTCCAGTTGGCTCCACAATCGCCCATACACGTTTATCTCCTCCACATCACCCTCGGATGTCCAACTCGTCTTTCCCTACTCAGGTTCTACTAGACTGCGTGATGCGTGGTGTCACACAGTGGTCTTCTCACCCTGTGCCTACTCCACTTTCTTCGGAATATTTGTTGGGCTGAGGGAGCTCGTTGTTGCTGAGCCTTTTACCCAGCTTTCTGATCTCCAGTATGGAACGAAGGAGGAGGGAGGCTGTTCATAAAAATCAGTACTGGTAGTAGTCGTAGTTTGTTGGAAATGCTTTCGGTGGCACGCAAACCACCAAGTGTCTGAACCATGCAAAAGCACACTGAGACTTGACACTGAAAATCCTAATTCCCATCCTCCCCCTATGCTGAATGCAGTAGATTTCTACACTGATTCCAGATGAATGAAGGTTTGTCTTACTGTTACGATGCAGACTGACTAGCTTTGACATCACACATCCTCCGTACTAATTACCTGTACGTAAAACAATAACTGTTTAGATAAATGTAAAAGGTGAATTCCCCTAGATACATACACAGTAGTAAGGCATTTAATTTTACCACGGTGTTAACAGGTACCAAACACCTGTACACACTCCTAAAAGCACATAAAACTCATCTACTCGTGATGCTTCTGTCCTTTGTTTTTAATGTGTTCTCATACAACATATATACACTGCAAAACGGTACACAAAACTAACAGTCACAATGAAATTAAATTGGAGTTAGTGTGAAAATACTTACACAAATTTGCCTCAAAGGATGTGATGGACGACCAACATTTGAAGTTTCACCAAGCGGTAATGGATTTAACTAAAAAATCCGAGGAAGAAAGGCATATATAGGACAACAATGCGATAGTTAAAAGCTATTTTCTGAGCTGACTTACGCCGAAATCATATATAGAAAAATCAAAAAACTAGTGAAAATGGCGGCGGGGAGAGGTTATCAGTGAGATTTAAGGACCCTTTCGATACGCAGAAAACTCCTTTCAAAGCAGAATGAAATTACGACATGCATAAAAAGGGACTGCAATAACTCTAGTTTAATGACTGCACATTATTATTCCTTTAGGCGGAGCATACGGCTTCAACAGCACATCTCCGCTACATCCACTACATTCTCTGAAGTCCTTTTTAGCTGTATTTATTTATTTAAAAGCATAAAAACTTGGTACAATATGGCACCAAGAAGGATGCGCCACACAATAATAAAACATCATCGATCAAAAGAAAGAAAGAAGAGAAAAATATATATAAATATAAGTACAGAACGGATAAAGAACTTCATCTGGAAGGAAAACAGTCATGCTTAACAAGTTCAAACAGTATTCGTTAACTTTCATCGGGAAGGGAAGAAAGAAGGAAATTGCAACACGTGTAATAGCACGCGATAAGTTTCATTGATTGTTTGTTGCTTTATTCAATTCTTTGTGTGAGGGCTGAGATACTGCCCGGGCGCCCAGACCGAAGCAGGTGGTTTTATTAAGGGACCACCCCCAGAGCCTTTGACTTAGAGTCTAATCCGCAAGGCAGCGGAGCAGCGTCAGGAGCTGTATTCCCGTGGTTTCCGGTGACCCATATGGGTTCATACGCCATGTGATCCGATTGGATACTGGAGCCTATGTACCCCATGGTAACTGCTTTTAGTTTAACCGCTATCCAAACAACCTTCCTGACATGGTAGGACATGCAGGGACAGAGTCACAGTCAATTTAGCATGTTGGGTGATTACGGTATTCAAGCCCGACCACCACGACAAGGTAGCAGTTATCGGCTGGCTGAACGATTACCTATAAGCTCTCATATTTTCCCCACACCCAACTCGTTACTTCGCATTCCACTCGAGAGTCTGTCTGGTGTGCTTGATGTCACTCGACGGTCTTATTGACGCGTGTCCAACCCATTCCCACTCTTTTCGGAATATTTGTTGGGCCATAGGTTCTTCGTTGGTTCGTCACCTCCCAGAATATTCGTCGTTGCTACCATTTTTGTCCAACTGACCTTTGAATATTCAGCGTGGAGCGAAGGCGGAGGGAGGCTGTTGATAAAAGCCTATAGTAGCCCATTGGTGATGCACCAAGTTTATCAGCGATAGATACACCAGCACTGACTTGACACAAGTTTCGAAGGTGTGGATCTTGTTAATGACGCTGAGTGCAGCAGATTTCCAAACTGACCTCAGGTTAACGAAGGTCTGTCTGGCTTCCTAGATCCTGGCGACTGACATCCTGATCCATCTCATCACTTCTGGTTGACACGACGCTACCTACATAAGAGAAAAGTAACTTCGTTTACATTCCTCCCGTTGATAGTCATTGGTACTGGTTGTTGTTGGTTATCGAGTTTCTCCATCACTTCCTAATGTAAGTTCTGTCTTCGCTGCTTCTTCTTCCAACTTGATAGTTTTCGTCTGCAGGTCTTTCAGTGTGGGTGAAATTAAACACATATCATCCACATAGTCCAGATCTTTCAGAGTCTTCTTATCAGTCCAGCGTATGTTAGTCTTCAATGTAGGTTTAAAAGTCAACTAGAAAACCACTGAAAAATAAGGAACAGTGAAAAGTGGTCGACATTCTATTCTCTGTACACCCTACCACGGGGATGATGATACAAACAAAGCGTGAAAGGTTTGTTTCATTCTACTTTAAAAATATGAAAATAATATTTCGAAAGTGATTAAAGGTGAAGAAACATTGATGAATGTATAATGCAGCCACTACGTCAGATATTCTGAAGACAAATCAATACCTTCAGACAATAAACGTGAATTTCCACCGGCACCCCACACGGTAGGCATTTCATGTCACTTCCGACCAAGAGGATAAGAGGGAAGAAACTTATTTCATAGATGAGTGACATCTCAAATGTGACAAAAAAAGGGTAGTTGAAAGTTGACCTACCACCACCTACTCCTATCCGAACTATACGAAATCAACTGTATGCTGCTTTCTAGTGCTTTTGTCACGCTTCGACTGCCATCATCAATTTCATCTAAGAGATTCAGTGATAAACTTACTTCTTGGTCATTGGTATATTTGTCTTCATTTGTATTATTACCATCTGTTCCAAGACATCGTACTTCTTCTATGAAATTATCTGTCAAAGTACGGGGTGAATTTTCCATCTCGGGAATATTGTTGAATTCCCGACGACGAAAATCTCTTCCTGTCACGTGTCCACGTCTTGTTATTCCCCTACCAAAATTTACATAAGATGAATAATATAAAAATAAATAAATATCTTATTTAGATGTTGGTTTACAAGGATTTTAAGAGTGGTCATGGACTGATTGCATTTAGAGAACCGTTGAAAACTAGAAGGGAGTACTGGAAAGGTGTTTCATCGCTGTTTAGGATAATTCAGTAAACGGTCCGCAACCATGAAACAATCACCAGGGATCGCCATATACACATCGAAAATATGCACAAGTTACAATTCATGGGCCAATGGATTCCATCCCAGTGGTTGAATGGTCTACAAGCTCGTCTTTTAGCCTGTAGTTCTTGGGTCTGATCTTGGGTGGGTCACAGGTGCGTACGGCTCAAGAGTCCTAATCAAGAAGGAAACAGCTGTCCAGTGCTCACTGTTTTTCACTATTTTTCTAACTGGTACATTAGTTCGTTATTTTTCTTAATTCCATTACCTTCCCATTGGAACATGAGGCTTCAAGCCAGAGGCTTGCAGTGGTGTTCATGCCCAACCTTCACTCTCTACCAGTCTTATCACTGGCTTAGCGAGGTAAAAGAGTGAATCAGTCAAGGATAGAATCCCGGACCACATCCGTAGTCAGCGAGAATTCTACACCTGTGTCACTGACGCATCGCGTTAGTTCGTCATCCGGTTTAATATCTTATATAGAATAAAATCTTCACCTAACGATAACCCAAAAATGAAGTGTGGAGCAAGAAGATAAGGCAAATAATATTCGTTAGACTTGTAAAAAAAATCGCAATGCAACACACACACACATTCTCAGAGTTATCATAAAAGTTACACAACAAACATATGTCGTAAAGCATCGAAAGATTCTGTTAAATCGACACTTCAACAAACAAGAACACAGGAACTACAATTATTAACTTACTGACTGAGTTTCAAAGTAGGACTTGGCACAGAAGTGCCACACCGAGTGTGGCGACTTGAACTTCCGCACATATGTGCAAAGTTCTATGTCGAAAACAGACAGACAGAAGTGCATCATTTTAAGTTACCACACTCAATATATCACACAGAAACGAAAAGACAAAGAATTCAAAGTAACCACAATGAGCAGAAATGTACAGAGGACAGAACACTAACATGGGAACACACCAGGATTCAATGGGTATGAGAAATCACAAAGAATGAATGCGTCTCCTCCATTGTGTGATACGATTTTGAGCCATGTCCTCAGAACTCTCAAGTTAGTCATTCTCAGCATCTCAACTACCCCAGCTGGACAGTCTACACTTAGTTAGCGGTTCAAACAAACGCTCAAAGACATCACGGATTGATTTCATCACACATAACCTTTTTCCGATCGATTCATATGTCAGTTAACATAGCTAGCTTGTCCAGGAAAGCAGTGGCTAGACATGTGTAAAACGTTTTCTAACCATCCCACTCGATGTGCCTTTATAACCCCACCGACTGACATGCACTTCTTACCCAACACTCTACACCTAACGACAATATGACTCACCATATTATACCATTCAAGACGAGAGACAAAACAAAAACAGTTATGGTCACAGACAGCTTGTATCCTGAAGTCTTTCACTTCGAATGGCCACGTCTCACAACCATAGAGATGTTTCTACATTAGTGTTGTAACGTGGTTTTAAGAGAATATCAGTACTGTTTCTCCGAATCTTGCTCCTATTGATAGCTACCGAGTTAAGAGAAATTGAAAGGCCTACTTGTGGAATAATAAAAACACTAGGATGAAAGCAAGAATGTGGAAGTGAGTGATGACAAGAAGAGCTTAGTGTGCTTATGCAAGCGCGTTGACAGTTATTACTTCCCAGCTGACAATATAGTTATAGTTTCCTTCTGTGATACCTGAAAGATAAGGAGCATTAGTAGTGCATCACCGCATAGCATAGCCCTAGGGACAAATGCTTTTGGCCGTTCACACACAGCCTGTTTCGAGTGGCTTTTGGAGTTGTCCTGGGATTAAAACCTTACTGACGACTACCGACTGCAGACAGGTAAGTCAGGAAGTATAGTTTTTGCGATCAACCTTTTCTAACCCTGCTTTTTAGAGCACAGATCCACTATAGTTGGCTTATCGTTCATCTTAGGGAAACACCTTGCTGCTGTTGCATCCCTATTTGCCAGCAATACGATTCTGTTTTACGACTCCCAGTGTAGTGTGAGCGATTTGCATTATGATGGTAACCAATTCTAGTCGAACTGCTATACAAACAACCTCCCTGGCTAGGTAGGACCTGTAGCAACCTCAACTCCAGTGAGTGAACCTGATTGGGTCATTGGGACACGCCAGCCCGGCCACCACGCCAACGTACCAGCCATCGACATTACTATCACTGTTATGTACTCGTCGCCATATTATTGTTATGTACTGGTCGAGAATTTAATAGTCCTGACGCAAGAAGACAGAAATCAGAAGACCACTAGGTTTGCGATGATACTTCAATTTTCCAAACACAAGGAGAATCAAATCACACGAGTGTGTGAGAGCAAAAATATGAATGTCCGAACAAGTGTGTGAGCGAATATTCAAAATGAACAAATCAATACAGTCTTAACATGATTGGCTAATTATAATGGAATACCGATCCATATATACATAGCAAAATATATCAGACTGTCAAAGAAACACACCCATTATATGGATACATGTCACCAAGAACAGACTCAAACAAACACATATTATATATATATATAACAAATACCTAGAGATTATAGCTCATGAACGCCATCAGCAAATTATAGAAGAAATGAAAACAATGCATTTAAACGTCATAGAATGTTAATGTAAGATAATAGGATGTTATAAGGAATGTGAAAATTCTGTATCAATACATTTTCATTTCTGATCAATTTTGAGCCATATTACATACACACATTAACCATACAGGTTAGTGGTTAGGAGAATCTCATGTCTATACTTCTACAGACGGATACAAATAAAATTCAGTAGCCTTCTCGATTAATGACAGTATTTTATGCCTGATGTTAAAAATTGGCAATAGCCTGCTCAAATAATATTCACTACTACATTAAACTATAATTCCACTCCTAAGAGGAAAACATTCTACGGAAATAAAGTGGAAATATTCAACACTAACAAACAAGCTAACTGAAAACCATGAACCTAAATTCCTTTTCCTTAACGTAAAATGCTAACACTTACCGCAAAATTGATACAGTCGCATCTAAATCAAACGTCGTGTCACCCAGTATACTTGGACACTTTGTCACTTGATTGGGCGGTTCATTTGAATCCAACAAAGACATCGTCTCCTTCACAAGGTTAATCACAGACATTCCCAGTTCCACTTGTGAACACAAGGATTCTTGTATGTTTAAAAAAGCATTCTACAATAACATGATCAATAAAATGTTATGAATAATAATACCTTTATCCTTTCTCGAGCTTCTTTATATGACTGGAGACGCATTAGTTCCAAACGACACTTCACCAGGTCAATATTGGCCTGTTGTGCAGCCATTCTTTGACTGTTAAGCTCGATTTGCAATTCTGATACTTTCTTTGCTAGCGAAACATTGTTGTTACGGAGAGATGTCCCTGAATTGATTGACTGATTCACTAAAATGAAATGATACATCGGTGTACGATAGATAATGACAATACTTATTCTTATAAAAGAGGGGTAAAAGAAACATACACTATTGTTAATTCGTGTATTGGGACAGGTTGGAAAACCTACTACACTGATGTCATCAGAAAGGAATTCCCTCCCCTGAAGATTGAAATTAATGGAGTTATATCCGAAAATTAATTTGCAGTCAAGAAGGAAATGAGATGTGAGTGCGTCTGGAATATAAACATGAACTGAATGTCGCATCAGTCGGATCTTTTATCAGATCGCAACGTCTGAGTTCGAGAATTTTCCGCCAAGGGTGAAGTGAGTAGTATCCCTTTCGAAAATTCGGTGACTGGTTCGTTAGGAACACGGGGAAAATAAATAGGTGGGAGAGCATGTAATTTATGTCACATTCTACCCACCTTCTGGTTATCTCATATAACCTGATTTGTCCATTTTCCCTCCAACCAGAAGGGCGCTTCGGAAACTTTAGTGATCACATTAACTAAACTACTAACACAATCGAATACCCATCACTCCTTTATCTCAAAACAAATATGACCTAAAATTTGTGCTTAGTTTTGAGGCAGGTTTGTGTAGACATTTTCAGGGAATATCTTAAGATAAACAGATCATCCACAAATCCCTAAAATACCTTCAGATTCCCCCATGAGAAAGGTCTGCAGACTTCTCGAATTTCTCCAATGGCCGGAAAATGTTGAATGACTTTAAGACGAAAACGGTAAGGGTAAACAATAGATAACAAAGTCAGATGACCCTGATTTCAACAATCAGATAGCTCAGCATTACAAATGGTTGCTAGTCATAAACCTTGTAGAAAATGTCTCCTAGATATGAATTTCGACTTCTCTGTGGGAAGAAATAGAAAATACATTGGTTTGATATGTCTGTGACTACTCTCATGAGAATTCAGGACCAGTTTGTGCAGCATATTAGAGATGTGCCCTATATGATTCATTTTAATTACAAATATATCGTAGATACACTAGGGTGTACCTACAAAGTATTTACTAAGTATTCTTTGTAAATTAAATACCACTTTTCACCTACAAGAATCTGATTGCTTAAATCAAGGTCATTTGACTTTGATATCTATTGTTTAATCTTGCTCTATATAACCCTGCACAAAAATTCTTATGCTACAATATGAATTCAACTCAAGTTCAGAGTAGCATACCTGACCTTTGAACAAGTCTTCTTGACGTATTCAGTAGTGCTCTACTGTGCATAAGCCGTATGCTACTGTTGAGTTTTCGCTGTCTGGATTTCGGATAACTGATACTAATGCGTGATCCCGTCTCACTCATGTTAGGAAAATTAATATAGGCAGATCTTGACTGGCTGCTAGCTCCACGGAAAAATTCCAATTTGAAAGTTCGCCAAGGTCGTTGGTATTTCAGATTTATTGGTTGAAGATAGAAGGCTTGGAGCCTATGTTAATCATTTCCTACTAAATTTCTGTGGTTGTCCAAACCCTTGTTGAATGAGTCAGTTGAGGTTGCAGACGCCACTTCTTCTGGGAGTCGGTTCCAAGAGTTTATGACTCGGTGTGAGAAGCAGTACTCAACTGCTCTACGATTTCTTCTTGGCTTTTCAACTCTCCTGCTATGTTTTCTAAGGTGTTCCGACCTGGTGGGAAGGAAAAGGGAGAATAAGTCAGGTCCGTAGTCATTATTCAAAATTTTAAACATTGTCATCAAATCTCCTCTCAGCCTACGGTATGACAGTGAGAAGAGATTTAAACTGTCTAGTCTGTCCTCGTATGTTAAGTTAGCTATGCCGTGAACCATACGCGTTGCCTTCCTCCGAACACTTTCTAGAATGTGTGAATCCCCTTTTAGACAAGGACTAGCGGCCTGGATTCAGTTTTCCAGTCTTGACCTCACCAGAGATATATATATATAAGGAGGTGAACATATCTCTGGTAACTCTTGTAAAGGCTCTGCGAATCGCCCATAAGGACCTGAAACTACGTGCAGCCACCGCGCGACAGTGTGCTGTAGCTTTTAAGTCGTGGCTAACTATGACACCTAATAAGTCCACGTGAGTCCGAACTGATGGAAGTGTTATTCCCTCTAGTTCGTAGGAGCTGATGCATGTTTGTCCGATGCGCATGGTTGTATATTTTGCTAGCTTGATCGGGAGGATCCATTCCCTTGACCACTCTGACAATTTGTCGAGGTCCTCTTGCAACGTGGACGTATCACCGTTGCCCTTCAGCTCTCTCCAAAGTTTTAAGTCATCTGCGCATAGGACCATAGGGGAGTCGGTGGGCAGAGATAACCCAATGATATACAAAATAAATAGGAGAGGTTAGAGTGCCGTGCCTTGTGGCACTTCTCTACGTACTGCTGTCCAAGAGGAGGGTTTCGAATTGATTCTGACCCTCTGCCTCCTATCTTTGAGGAACTCTCTCAGCCAGTTCATTAATCCGCCTTTGATACCAAGACTTTCCAATTTCATGAGCAGTCATTTGTGAGGTACTTAATCAAAGGCTTTACTGAAGTCTATGAAGACGACGACAACGGGTCTTCCGTTGCCCCTTGATTTGACCCAGCTTTCTCTTGCAGTCAGGATATTTGACAGAAATGAGAGGTTTCTCCGGATGCGGCGGTACATAGCAATGAGGTCAATGTCTTGGCCTATGCATTTAAGTCTGCAGCGTAGAAGTTCTCATGACTCACTTTCGTGGGCGAGTGCTTCGGCACTACGCACGGTTAAGCCTCTCTTGAGGTAGATGACTACGCCACCTCCTTTGCGGCTTAGTCGGTCCACCCTATACACTTCGAAGTTTGTCAGGTTAACTTCGTTGTCGGTGACATCAGCTGTGAGCCATGTCTCTGTGACAATAATTACATCCGGGTTTCCGGTTTCTATCATGTTAACCAGCTCAGTCCTTTTAATTAACAGGCTGCGGGCGTTTGTGTAGCAGACTGTTAATTCAGATTGGTGCTTCCCCGGCCCACCCACAGAGGTTTCGGGATCATTAAACTGCGAACTCGGACAACCCGAAAACCCTTAATCTTAAGGTTCTTCTCGCCGTTCTGGCGTCGCTCGCTTAATTCTAGTGCCGCCGCCTGTCTTTTGACACTGTCTGCTAGGCTTAAGTCGGTGCGGACATATATGCCTGAACTTTCCTTCCAGTATACTTGTAAAAGTAGAACACATGCAGTCACCTACGACTTAAATTTACTCAGGTACTTGATTTTGTGTTACGGACCCACACCCAAAGGAATCCTGTAATCATAATAGATGTTACGCCTGACTGTTTTAAGAAGATGTTCCGCCTGCTATTTTGCGAAGCAGCTAGAGTATCTCTCATTACGTTTGCTATATCGCACACGAAAACACCCCACGATAGCTTTTATCTTCACATGCAAATACACAATACACGCTTCAGATAAACCACATCTTATTATTTTGTCAAAATTAATTAATGAAGGGAACTGTGTTCAATATCATTTTTATTTAGTAATTAACGCGAATTAAAAGCTAGACAGACGACAAAGGGCTGTGGAGTACATAACAGTGTGATTGTACACTTTTGTTAGCTGTTGAATTTAGAGACATTGTACATGATTTTTGTTTAAAACGATTCATGTTTAGATATATATGTATAAATTTCGTATACAATTCGAAGTATACTATACTGCTGGAAGCTTCGCCTCCTCACGGGCCATTACTGCTTACTTGCTCCACTCATACCGTGCTGTATACTTTGAATTTATGGTAGGAGCCTATTATACTCATCCGAAGACAACTCTACAACCTGTCCTTAGCATTCACCAGTAGACGCAATTCCAACAGTGAACGCTCACTATGGGTAAATTTTGTTTTGATAAAGTCTCACAGTGTTATACAGTAATGTTCACTGATGACGTTTCGAGCACAATTTATTGCTCATAATCATATCAAGGTAATCACACAACTTCCTAAGTTTATTTACATAGTTCCACTGTTTTTCTCTTGATTTTCACTTGATTTGATTGGTAATAGTATTTTCCATATTTCAGGTATGAGTGACAAATCATTCTTATTGCATGTATTGGGTGTAGACTCGATGAACAAGGATTCAGTAATCAACCTCTCTCTACACCTGCCTAGATTACTTTTTAGAATTTTAACCCTATCCCACCCTATTGTGTGGTTGTGTGTTAATGGATGCAGTGCAATTGCTGAGCTTTTTTATAAATTAATTATCTTCTCGGGGTCAACCATTCTTACCTTAGCTAAATTCTTATTTTCTGACAATCTGACTACCCCTGACCTACTAGTTTGACCTATAAAGTTGACATCACTCACAGTCATTGGTAAGTATTTTGTATATTATGTCATTTTGTGTAATTGGGTCAACTGGGTCCTTTGACATACACAGGTTGTCATAACTGAGTGAGTTTGCAGGTTTGAATTCCACCACTCTAATTCCTGCTTTATTAGGAATCTTACGTAGGGTCTCAGATGTCCCCTCTTTATATGGTATAACTGTGGATGACTTATATTCTCTCTTATTTATGTTATTATTACTAGTTTCACATTTGTTTTTATTTTGTTTTTGTTATGTTTTGTTCTTATATCAGTGAACGCTCACGTAAATTATATTAATAATTTGTGGCCGCTTTTTTAACATTATATCCAAGTAACCTTTTTATCAATATAACTCATTACTGCATTTTTTGATAATATATTGCTACTCTATCATCTCATTGACTTGGATTTTCATTCGGATATCTGAAGTGTTAATGAGCTCCCTTGACAGTCCCCTACAGGGCAACCGTTCCATTGTTAACACCAACAATCTACCTGTTAGCAGTTAAACGACCAGGAGCCTGACTTGACTTGAGAAACGACCAGGCATGTTAGCACTTCTTCGTAACGTTTATCTACAATAATTTCAAGTAATTGTATAATTCCTTTTACAACTGTGGAGGTATGGCTCAGTGACTCACGGGTTCGAGTCCTGCTCCACGTACTTCTACAACCTCGGCAACTCGATAGTATCAACCCTCACACCAGACGAGTGTGACTCTTAGTCTGACACATGAAAAGTCTATTCAGGGATGAGTTCAAACAACCTTTGAGATTAAAAACCATAGCATTTGCTCATTTGGCGACTAATTATCATACAATGACTCTCCCAAAGAGAACAAATTTAATTAGAGGATTGTGATTTATTGTGCATGAGTTCTCCATTTATTCACCAACTACTGTCATATCCCAACACTAACAAATAAATTCAAAAGGCGCATAGACTTTTGTATCATAAAAAGTAAATTACAAAGAAGTTATACTGCTTGATCAAATTAGTGACCATCTAAAATCAGTGGCTCCACAAGTGGTCTAGGTTCGACTGTCGATCAATGCACACCTAAGCTTCACCTAACCGGTGGGTGGTAGGTCCAGTAGAGGAGAAGGCTTCGATGTGAGGCTACCTGTCAATCACGTCTCATAAACCGTTAATGCCCAGCTCTCGCTACGCTCGGGCCCACGCTGTTCTTCGAAGATTTCGGAAACGCTTAGTTATAACGGACGCAAAAAACCAAAACACCGATCTGCCGCTTGTTATTTGTTTATTGTTACACCAACATATAAAAGGAATAAGCGAACTAAGGTCTGAAAACAAATATTACACTAATAAATCGTCGTATTACTTCTGACGATGTTTCACTCTTCTTTCTGAACAGCGACCGATGAGACGATGACTGTCGTATTGATGCCTCCGCGAAAATTGGGGAAGTTGATTTTAAGCAAACAACCATGGATTGATCGTTCAATCTTCAACTCCATTGACACTACCTCTACCTCCATCTCTACTGAAACTGCAAACATCAGTTTAAGCTCCATGTTTCACTCAAGACGCAAATGTCTGAAAAAATGGTCCAACTATCTACGGTTCTCCAGCGCCAAACACCACTTCGATTTCGCCGAGTAAGTTTTAGTTCCAAAACCTACTACTGCCAACTACTACAAACAAAAGAACCATCACCTGCGACGACAAATATATAGAACACAATATGGTCCCGAAAATTCCAGCCACTTGTCAGTGAACTCTACATGTGACTGGACAGTCACAAATTCATGAAAAAACACCTGTCAATCTTCAAAAGTATCGGAAATATATACGTCAAACATCTTCTTTCTTCCGTTGCGTCCCAAGTGGAACATTAGACTTCAAGCTTGAAGTTAAAATTCCCACTACCAAAGGGATGTCTTTGACAGCTGCACGCCCAGTCACTCCTCTTTGCCAGGCTTACTACCAGCCAAATGATGTTTACGGATGCGTCGGCTGTGATCTTTTGCTGAAAATCTC